TCTCAGTGGTTCTTCCTCATAGTCTTAGAAAGCTCCTCTATTTGAGTCTTGGATCCTCTCAGTGGTTCTTCCTCATAGTCTTAGAAAGCTCCTCTATTTGAGTCTTGGTTCCTCTCAGTGGTTCTTCCTCATAGCCTTAGAAAGCTCCTCTATTTGAGTCTTGGTTCCTCTCAGTGGTTCTTCCTCATAGTCTTAGAAAGCTCCTCTATTTGAGTCTTGGTTCCTCTCAGTGGTTCTTCCTCATAGCCTTAGAAAGCTCCTCTATTTGAGTCTTGGATCCTCTCAGTGGTTCTTCCTCATAGTCTTAGAAAGCTCCTCTATTTGAGCCTTGCTCCTTCCTCATTTGAATGTATAACTTTCTTTATTGTGATCTAAATCATTTTGAAAGATTTTTTAATGGTTCTAAGTAGCACCAAAAGATATAAGAACCCTTGTATTTGTGTCTGTGTAGTTAAAAGTCTCTGTATATCTCTGTTTGAGTTTGAGTCAGAAGTGAGTGTGGTCCTTACTGGACGTTTGTTTAATGTACTGTTTATGAGTTACAAGTAAAATGTAATAATAATTATTCACCTGTTCAAAATAAACAACCCCATTTCCAAAAAAGTTGGGATGCTGTGCAAAAGCTAAATAAAAATAAAATGCAATGATGTGCAAATCTTTTAAGCCCTATATTTCATTGGCAGTACAATGACAACATATCAAATGTTTAAACTGAGAAATTTTATTGTTTATTGAAAAATATATGACCATTTTGAATTTGATGCCAACAACACATTCCAAAAAAGTTGGAACGGGGCAACAAACGGCTGGTAAAGTTGTGTGATGCTAAAAAAACACCTGGTGTTTAATTGGCAACAGGTCAGTAACATAATTGGGTGAAAAAAAGCATCTCAGAGAGGCGGAGTCTTTCAGAAGTAAAGATGAAGAGGGGTTCACCACTCTGTGAAAGACTGCACCATCAAATAGTAGAAACATTATTCTTGAATTGTCAAGAATAATGTTTCTCAACATAAAATAGCAAAGAACTTTTGTTTTTCATCATCTTCAGTACATAATATCATTGAAAGATTCAGAGAATCTGGAGAAATCTCTGTATGTAAGGGACAAGGCCAAAAACCAGTATTTGCTGGCCGTGATCTTTGGGCCGTCAGACAACACTGCATTAAAAACAGACATGATTCTGTAGAGGAAATCACTGCATGGGCTCAGAAACACTTGTGAAAACCACTGTCTGTGAACACAGTTCATCACTGCATCCACAAATGCAAGTTAAAACTCTAAAACACAAAGAAGAAACCAAATATAAACAGCATCCAGAAATGCTGCCACCTTCTCTGGGCCTGAGCTCATTTAAAATGGACTGAAGTGAAGTGGAAAAGTGTCCTGTGGTCTGACGAATCAACATTTGAAATTCTTTTTGGAAATCATGGACACTGTGTCCTCTGGGCTAAAGACCACTCAGCTTGTTATCAGTACACAGTTCAAAAGCCAGTATTCATGATGGTATACGGGTGCGTTAGTGCACATGGCATGGGTGATGTGCACATCTGTGAAGGCACCATTAATGCTGAACGATATATACATGTTTTGGCAACATAAGCTGCCATCCAGACGACGTCTTTTTCAGGGAAGGCCTTGATTATTTCAGCAAGACAATGTCAAACTACATTCTGCATGTATTACAGCAGCATTGCTCTGTATTAAAAGAGTCTGGGTGCTAAACTGGCCTGCCTGCAGTCCAGACCTGTCACCACTGATAACATTTGGTGCACTATAAAAAGAAAAATATGACAAAGGAGCCCTCGAACTATTGAGCAGCTAAAATCCTGTATCAAACAAGAACAGGAAAACGTTTCACTTTCAAAACTACAGCAGTGTCTCCTCAGTTCCCAAACACTTACAGAGTGATGTTAAAATGTTTATCATTTGATATGTTGTCTTTTCCTTTAAAAATATGGTTTACATGATTTGCATATCATTGCATTTTATTTTTATTTACATTCGGCTCAGCATCCCAACTTTTTTGGAAATGGGGTTGTATTACAGTATAACACCCTAATTTGAGATGCACAATAACTTTATTCATCTAAGTACAAATATGTTTAATTCAATTATTTAAACAAGAGTAAAACAGACAGTAGAAATGGATGAATAGAGCACTGATTACTAATATTCATATTCCTGTTATCTGTTTATTCTGAGCTCTACAGATGGAGCTGAATGAGGGGAGATGCTGTGTGAGGAGGTGTTTTGGCTCTGAGGAGCTGCCCCTCCTCCTCCTCTTCCTCCTCTTCCTCACAGCGTTAAAAGTGCTGTGCAGTTTCTCTGCTAAGTTAATAAGCAGTTGATCCACATCAACACTGCGGGCTTATTTAATAACTCATTACAGTAAATACACTCAACACCTACAGCACTGCTCTTAATCCTCTCTCTCTCGCCCTCCTCTCTCTCTCTTTTTCTCTCTCTCTCTCTTCCTCTCTCTCTCTCTCTCTCTCACTCTCTCTCTCCATGAGCACACCTTTTAATCCAGCATGAAATTTTAATTAACACCGCTGTGACCCTTTAACCACAGATACTGCAGCGTGAACCGAGGGATAGAGAGAACAGAGGGAGAGGAAGAAAAGAGAGGGAAAAAAAAGAAAAATAATGAGCGAGAAAATAGAAAGAAAGAAAAGAAGAGCAAGAAAAGCGAGAGAGAAAGGAAAAAGAAAAATAGAGAAAAAGTAAGTGAGAGGCAAAAGAAAATAAAGGGAGAGAAAGATTAAGGAGAAGGAGAGAGAAAAAAAGGAAAGAGTGGGATAAGGAAAGAGAGATGGGGAAAAGGAGACAGAAAGGGGGGGTAGACAAAAGAGTATGCAAGAGAGAATAAAGAGAAAGAGAAACCGAAGGAGAGGCTTAGAAGAAAAAGGAGAAGAGGAAGAACATGAACTAGACAGATGGAGGGAGGGAATAAAAGAGAGGAGAAAGTGGGGGATGGGGAAAACGAGAAAGAGAGGCAGAATAAGAATGTGAAATAGAATGAATAAGGATATATATATATATATATATATATATATAGAGAGAGAGAGAGAGAGAGCGAGAGAGAGAGATGGATGGACGAATAGACGGGTGGCTCATAAATAAGTCATAACTAATAAATCACACCGTGGGTCTCCAACTTCACCTGTCAGAGAGAGAGAGAGAGGAGAGCAAAGGAGAGAGAAAGAGAGAGAGGAGGGAAGAAAGAGAGAGGTAGAGGGAGCAGAGAGAAAGAGAACAGAAAGAGAAAGTGAGACAGAGAGAGAGAGAGTGAGAGAATAAAAGAGAGAGTGAGAGAACACAGAGAAAGAGAGACTGGAGAGAGAGAGAGAAAAAAAAGGACAGAGACAGAGAATGAGAGACAGAGATTGAAAATAGAAAAAGAGAGAAAAAAGTGAGAGACAAAGAGACAAAGAAAGAGAGAAAGCAATGGAGAGAGCAGGCAGAGAGACTGAGACAGATGTGCAGATGTGGAACAGGAGAGAGAGAAAAGGAAGGAGATAGAGGAAAGACAGAAAGAAAGAAAAGAGAGAGGGAGAAAAAGAGAAGAGAGAAAGAGCGGACATAGTGACAGACAAAGAGAAAGAGCAAGAAAGAGCAGTGAGAAAGAAAAATAGAGAGAAATAAAGAGAAAAGAAGAAAGAGTGAGAAAGGAATGATTGGGAGAATGGAGAGAGAGGAAGAAGAAGAAGAAGCGAAAGAGAGAAAGGAAAAGGAGCAGAAGAGCGTGGCATTAGCGTTAGTGTTAGCAGTAATGTGTGACTGTGGCCTATGAGTCTCAGACTGACCGGTGGGCGTTTTAAACAGACGGGTCAGTGTGTGAGTGAAGCTGCAGGACGAAAGTATCTGATACTCATAATCCCTCCATCACTCTCTCATCACTCCATCTCTCTCTCCTCTCACTCGAGAGCTGTGATGGTGAAGTGTCTCTCAGCTGTGGACTGAACACTGACCACTGAAACACCGTGACTGCAGGCAGCTCAGCTTATGTGTCTTACTGTTCATTTATACTTAAACATTTTAATAATTATAATAATTATATCTGATGCTGTAATGGTGCATTTGGACGGTCTGGAAAGGTGAGTTTACCATGAGGAGCCTGCACAGCCCAGTAAAAAATTACACCATACTGGGATCTGTCCAGGGTGCATGAACAAGCTAAGCCTTGTCTAGTAAACATCTCCAAAGTTTCAGTCTTAGAAGTTCTCACAATCCAAGTATTCCCAAACACATTCAGTGAAATTGTGGAGATGGTCAGTCCATTGTTCTGAGCAGCTTCATCAGCAGCTTCTTTGTTTGATTAGGACATCTTGATCTTCTCAGTCGTGTGCTTGGGGTCGATATCTTGCAGTAAAATGAATTTGTTCCTAGTCAAACATTTTCAAGTGGTACTAAATCATGTATTCAAACGTGTTAATACTGTTATGGATCGGCCTCCAGCCAGTTCATAAACAATTGAGGGAGACGATGAGTGGAAGTTGTAGCAAAAAACGTGTCTTTATTTTCACATTGAGCTACTTAGAAACGGTTTGCAAACCAGAAAGATAGCCATACTGAAGTGAGCCAACCATTAACGGTTAAAGCCCTCCCTTACAAAGCCCACTCGCTATGGAGCTGCTTTGTGCACTGAGGCTCAGTCAACTGTTCCCACAAAGTTGGAAGTGTACAGTTGTTCAAAATGTCTTGGTGCTGAAGCATTAAGATCTCCCTTCACTGGAACTGAGGGTTCTAGACCAACCCCTGAAAAACAGCCCCATATCATCCCTCCTCCACCAAACTGTACAGCTGGCACAGTGCAGTCAGGCAGGTAACGTTGTACTGGTATTCACCAAACCCAGATTCGTGGTATTTGCCAAATCCAGAGTCCAGTGGTACTGTGCTTTACACCACTCCCTAATCTCTCTCTCTCTCTCTCTTGCTCTCTCTCTCTTGCTCTCTCTCTCTCTCGCGCTCTCTCTCTCTCGCTCTCTATCTCTCTGTAGGTTATGGTTTTGTTGATTTTGACAGTCCTGCTGCTGCTCAGAAAGCCGTGTCATCCCTCAAAGCCACTGGAGTCCAAGCACAGATGGCCAAGGTAGGACATCTTCACCTATAACCCCAACTCTGAATCTCTGTTGTGATGTCTAGTCTGGAATTTGGTACAAACCAAGTCTGTTCTACAGTTTCTCAATGAATAACTGACTCTAAATGTAGGTATTGTGATATAAACTGAGTCTGTTCTACAGTTTCTCATTAGGCTGAATGAATAACCGACTCTAAATGTAGGTATTGTGATATAAACTGAGTCTGTTCTACAGTTTCTCATTAGGTTGAATGAATAACTGACTCTAAATGTAGGTATTGTGATATAAGCTGAGTCTGTTCTACAGTTTCTCATTAGGCTGAATGAATAACTGACTCTAAATGTAGGTATTGTGATATAAACTGAGTCTGTTCTACAGTTTCTCATTAGGTTGAATGAATAACTGACTCTAAATGTAGGTATTGTGATATAAACTGAGTCTGTTCTACAGTTTCTCATTAGGTTGAATGAATAACTGACTCTAAATGTAGGTATTGTGATATAAACTGAGTCTGTTCTACAGTTTCTCATTAGGGTGAATGAATAACCGACTCTAAATGTAGGTATTGTGATATAAACTGAGTCTGTTCTACAGTTTCTCATTAGGCTGAATGAATAACCGACTCTAAATGTAGGTATTGTGATATAAACTGAGTCTGTTCTACAGTTTCTCATTAGGTGAATGAATAACCGACTCTAAATGTAGTATTGTGATATAACTGAGTCTGTTCACAGTTCTCATTAGGGTATGATACTGAGTCTGTTCTACAGTTTCTCATTAGGTTGAATGAATAACTGACTCTAAATGTAGGTATTGTGATATAAACTGAGTCTGTTCTACAGTTTCTCATTAGGTTGAATGAATAACTGACTCTAAATGTAGGTATTGTGATATAAACTGAGTCTGTTCTACAGTTTCTCATTAGGGTGAATGAATAACTGACTCTAAATGTAGGTATTGTGATATAAATTCTGATCTACAGTTCTACAGTTTTGTTTGTTTGTGATCTGAACTTTTTGTGATTTAATTTGGGTTATTTTTCCTCCCAGTTTGGCTCGATACAATACTTTAAGTTGGTCAGGCAGTTGAGTGGACCCTCTTTGGGGTCCTGCTCTGAAATGTCATGGTATTAAACAACCACTTTTGGATGCACTGCTGTTTATTGGTTTGTGGATAACAGAACACAAAAGAATATGCTGGACACAAAGGTCAGTTCTGTTCTGGCTGAAAATTATATTTGTTTGGGAGAACTAAATGAGTTTTTCAGTCACTGTGGAAGTATGACGGGAACCCTGCTGACTCCAAGTTGTGCTAATGTTTTTATTGGAGAAGGCTGACTTTGTTTTGATCACTGACGTTCTTGATATCGGTTCTGCAGACTGACAAGTATGTGCCTCAAACAGATCATTACTAAAACCTTGTATCTCCAAAATGTTAACTTTACAGGAGATGCAGGAAACTTTCTTAATATTCTATGAAAATTCATGTAAAAACAATTGCACAAAATTTTAACATTTTGGATAATTTCCACTAGTCTATTTGTCATAAAATTTCCACACAATGTAAAGAGCAGCTGATATTTTCACGTCAAGAAATAAAAAATAACAAATAACAATATTTTATTCTAACAGCACTAATATGAGAGCTGCATCTGCAAAAATAGTATCTTTTCAAGTAAAATGATCTTAATTCTAGTGGAAAAATCACTTATTATTAGATTATTTAACTTATTTCTAGACACTTTCAACCTGTTTTTAAGTAAAATGATCTCATGGCACTGGGAGGTAATTTTGCTGGTTCCAAGCCCATTTCTTACAACAAGCAAAATTATCTGCCAATACAGTCAGGTGATATTACTTAATAAAATTACTTAAAACAAGCAAAAAATGTTTGGAAATAAGTTAAATAATCATGAAATAAGCTTCCAACAATCTCAACAAGAGAAATATTGGATATATCGACCACATTTAAGATAATATTACTTGACAAGATACTATTTTTTGCAGTGTTTGGGCAAACTCTGTTTAATTTGGTTCATTTAAAGAGTAACTACATCAATACATCATTACAGAGGATAACAGAGCTCAGACTTACAGAGGAAATCAATCAGAGAAGCAATGAAACGCAGTGTTCATTAAATACAAGAAGACATGAGAAAGTGACACAGACAGAGAGAGACAGAGAAACACTTTTACTGACTCTGAAAAGTCCAATTTTAATGTTACTTAATATTCCCAAACTTTGTGACCCAAGCTTCAGCTAGAGACATGTACCATCATTCATCCTGCCAATATCAAACTGAGCTGAACTGAAAAAAGGGACTAAAATGCGAGTTTGGTTTGATTTTTGGACAACAGCCTGAGCTTTGCGATGGAAGTTGGTTTTGTTAATCTGAACTGAAAGAGAGGTAGGTGGGATTAAAGGTCATTAAGGTCATCAACAAGAGGTCATTTCTGGCCCACAGAGGAAAAGGCATGATCTTCTCATCTTGTGAAGTGAGATAATTTCAGATTCTGAGTCTGAGATTATTTTAGCTCAAATGTGGCTCCATTGATTGCCTTTACCAGGGTTTATGTATATTGTGATCTCAGCCTTCGATGCGCCACCTACAGATGTCTGATATGTGTTGCATGTTCAGGTCACCACAGCTATCTTCACTGTGACGGTATGGTTGCATCCTGACTGGCTATCCACACGTCCATGTGTACGCACTTGGACTCTGTATTGGTTTTAATCTGTCTGAAAGTAAACCGTTATCGGTCTGTTGGTGTGAGTTTTGAGATCGCTGGTTTGAAAAACGTGAGGTTCACAGGATCATGACTTTAAAAGCTATTCAATGTTTTCTTAGTAGTGAGTAAATTACATAACCTACAACACACACGCCACTTTGTTTCCTGCGGGTGTGTTTTTGTTGTATTCCATTTTTGAAAACTGCTTGTAGACATCATGGAAACAACTGTCAATGATTGGTTATTTAGCCTGTCAATCAGACGGCCCTTTCCTGTTAAAGGAAGCAGTTGAACTTGAACTTTTTGGCCGTTTTAAACAACAAAAAGCAGCAGAAGTCAGGCTTGTGAAACTACATATAAATTCACATTCACATATTTAGATTAAATTAGATTATATTCAAGAAAGCCAATGAAATGCAGTTAGCATGTAACCAGAAGTGCAAAATTATTATATATATCATAAATATATATCATGTAAAGTGCAGGAAAGTAACTATGGTAAGCAATGCTGTGGTTACAACATGTAATGCTGTGGTTACAACACGTACAATTAAGGACGGTAGAGTGGTAAAAAAATATATAGCTATTGCAAGTATACATATATTATATGCAGAGTGAAAGTGGCAGTGTGGAGTTCAGCAGAGTCATTTAGCATTTACAGCATTTAGCAAAGCTTTTATCCAGGGTGACTTGCAGAAGTGCTGGCCATATTCGTAAGTGCGAAAAAGAATTCAAAGAGTGTGCTAAGCTAATAAACTGCAAAAAGCAGGAATGAGTGCTGAAACCTGGACATAAAGGTTAGAGTTCATTTAAATCCTTTTGGAAGAGGTAGGTCTCCGTTCTGTATTTGAAGACAGCAAGGGGCTGTTTGGAGAGTCGGGGGATATTAGTTCCACCATCTGGGCTCCAGGTGGAGAAGAATCTTGATGCTTGTCTTCTGTGAGTCTTGAAGGATGGTGGATCATGCTGAGCTGTCCTTGAGGTTCAAGGGTCTTGAGAGATGGTGCAGTATTTCACCACTGCCTTCAGGTGAGAGGGGCTGGTCCATTTTTGGCTTTGTAGGGTTTAAAATCTAATGAGAGCAGCTGCAGGAGGCCACTAAAGGGGACACAGTAGAGGAGTGACATGAGTGAAATTTGGGAGATGGAGAAGTTGTGCTGCTGCATGCCTGCAGTTGCAAATATGCTAAGGGCATATATAGGAAGTCCAGCCAGGTCATCTTCAGACAGCCAGGTTTCATCTTAGCATGTAACCATCTATGGCAGCCCATCACTTGATGCTCAATCGCAAGAAGACTGAGGGAAGCCCAGCATGGAGTTAGTTGCAGTAGTCCAGTCTTGAGATGACAAGGGACTGACCAAGTACCTGGGTGGCCTCCTAGGACAAAAAAGGGCAAGACTACGACAAAGCTTTGTGCATTTTCAGAAAGAATGACCAAAGAGTTATCAAAGCATATGTCACTCTAACAGCGAGGAGATGTATTTCCAAGGATGTGTAGCAACTCAGTCTTGTTGGGATTGACCAGTGATGCTGATATGCCAAAGGAAGGGGGTGTGGCTTTAAAGAGGGAAGAGAAAATGCTAAAGATCATGCACGGATCAGATGCTGATGCTTTAGTTAAAAGCTAATGATTTCATTACCTCTGTTAGCTACATTAGTGTTGTAGCTCTGGTGCAGGTTTTGCTAAAGAAGCAAAACCTGGACTCTACATAGGTTTTGTCATTTCTGCAGATTGACTATATAGTGGAATAATGGGTAAAAATTAATTAATGCCAAGCTTAGCCACACGCCACTCTCTACACTGTTATGGTTGGCGTTACACAATGAGACGTTCATGCAACTTTAGTTGCTTGAAACTTGCATGAAACTAAAATTGTTGTGGTTGGCTTTACACAATGAGACATTCGTGTAACTTTAGTTGCTTTAAACTTACATGAAACAAACTGTTATGGTTGGCTTTACACAACGAGACATTCATGCAACTTTAGTTGCTTGAAACGTACATGAAACTAAAACTGTTATGGTTGGCTTTACACAAAGAGACATTCATGCAACTTTTGTTGCTTGAAACTCACATGAAACTAAATTAACTAAATTGCATTGAGTTGCACTATGAAAAACTTCCTGCAACTCACTTGGAACTTATACACAATAGTTGCAAGCACCTCAACTTCAAGAAACCAATCTCATGAAAACAGCTGATCAAAATGCAATAACGTATCACATGATCAAGTCAAATGAAAACATTTCATCTGATTGATTTGCTTGGTTTAAAGGACAAG